TCACCTGTGGGTCATTTACGCGGTATTGAAGAGGTGCAAGCATCAATTATTTTGGCTCTTGCCCCCTATACCGCCTTCCGCGCCCTGGAAATTAAATGACCAACGCGAAGGTGAATTATCAACAAGAAACTACTTTTTGGCCGCTGAGCATGTGATTTTTCTTATTTTCGTTGCTTGAGTGAGGATGTCTCAGACTTTTCTTTCTGTTGTCCGTCTCGTTTTTGTTTGGCTTTTACCTCTTTGGCTTTGCATTGTTTTGAATTAATAATTTATACCGATATTTTATAATCACCCGCGGCGTACATCAATTGATTTACCGGATTAGCATACCGCTCCCTTCCACACCTCGCCATCTATATGTGAGTATAACCCAGTCAAACCGACTCTCTCGCGATATATGTGTGTGTGTGTGTGTGTCTGTGTCTGATCCGTCTGAATATCTCTTTTACTTTTTTCGATTATTCTCTTTTTTTTTGTATCAAGTTGATTTTGGTTGAAAAATTGTTTGCAATTTATGAAACGCGTTCGAGGAGCACAACAACAGTAGCAACAACGACGACGAAAGTAAAAGTTCAATTAAATAAAGATAAATTGCACAACAACTGTTGTTGTTGTTGTGTTTTTTTACTGGTTAACTTTTAAACCTTCAAAAGACTTCGATGTTTGCTTTACATAAGCTACCGAAATAAACATTTTCAAAATTCAGCGATATTTTTCAAGCAGAGACAATTATTGCGGAACATTGAAGTTGTTTTAGTTGAAGATCAGATCAATCTTAGATCATTTTTAGCATTTATTTTTATTTCAAAAAACAATGGAAAACTGGTGCAAGCTATATCGGTGCTCCTGATAGGAGTATCCAAGTTTTGCAAGCTCTAGCTTGTGGAATCCGCTAAATGGTTTCGTTAACTCTACTGAGAAAAGAATTTTGCACGATTTCGGCCGAACCTGCAGCTCCAACTATGTTGGTTACAGCTCTGACATCAGGCTTAAGTCAAGTTGCAAGAATGCGGAATAAATGTCATGATAAACATGAAACAAAACGCCAGAAAAAAAGGAAAATAGAAACACCCAGGCTGAAAGCTGCGAGCATGTATCTTATAGATATCGCCGACAGACTCATTTAGATATTGCAAACTGGTTTCCTTGTCCCTGGTGCGCAAAGTGGATCACTTGGGGGTGTACTGCATGACTCCAGCTGCATACCCATTAATAGGTGCTCCCCCGATGTGTACATATAGTATGCATGCCATAGAACCCAAATCGGATTGGCTATCGCCGAGAGCAGGCCTTAACTGGTTCGAAGTCGAAGCCATTGCGGAAAAATATGTGTTAGCCGGTTAATTAATTACTGCACTTTGAGGCCATTTCCCCCTGCCCTTCCCCGACTTGAATTTAGTAAAAGTCTCGAAGCCTTCGAAGCGACTTAAAGTTCTTCCGTCTTTTTCCGGAGTCTGAAGGCTTTTTCGAGTCCATCTGCTAATAGTCAAACTGAACCACTTCCCACTTCCCACTTGCCAGTTACTCGTACGGTCGTGCTGCGGTAACCCTCCGTTGGGCAATTAGGCCCATTATTGGTCTATAATTAGCCGCCAATACCAATATCTGCCGATGGGACACCCCGGGGCGCAGGCCCCTCCCCGAGCACATTGCGAGCGCACATTTCGTGGCCTCTTAAACTTTAAATGTCAGTCGTATTGCCAGTCCCAGATTTAGTTTCGGTTTCGCGAAAACTCCACTCATTGTCGGAGGCCCGGGTAAATGTCTCCTTGAAATGCTAAAGGCGAACTAAAATAATGTTAATCAAACCTGAGTTTATTTTGGGGGAAACAATTGGAGGTCGAAGTAACTTTCCTGCGGGAACCGTTCTATTATTGGGAGAGTGAGCAAAGGCAATATAATATATGTATACATATATAAAATATCTATTTAAGCCCTTACCGGCCTCTTCAACCTCCATTATTTTATAATAATTTCTTAATTGATGATCTATCTGAGTTGTACTTCCTATCATCGCAACTTCCTGATCCGTCTGCATTGTCTGTTTTATCTGCGCATTCTTATATACCAATTGCACTTGACTTTCCATTTAGGCAGCTGTCCATCCTCGATCCTCCATCCCGTCGATCAACCTCGACGACACTCATCATTTCACTTTACTTGGTTTTTTTTGGGGGTTGGTTTCGGTGGTGCGATCGTTGTAATCACAATTAAAAAGCACTTTGCCAATTCGCTAACCACTTGTTCGACAAGATGTTGATTGGGCCCTCTGTTTTTTGTAGCTGTTTCTCAGATAATTGTCAGCCAAAAGCAAATATCACGAAAAATAAAAAAAAAGCAAACGACGAGAGCTGACCGTTGACATGGTAAGGTGCTATGGGCGGGGGACAATGGGCAGGGCGATCGATCTTCGGTTGTTGCTGACCCGCAACGACCACCATCCAAAGCAACAACGCCTCGTACAACGGCGACAACTTTATTGGTGCATTTAGTGAAAGTTGATGCCCGCAGCAGGAGATGATCGCAGATCGTTGTTTCGTGAACACTTCCACTTTTTGCATACGTTTTTTTATACATTTTTCATTTTCCCCACTGCTGGCATTTAGCGAGTTTTCTGATATTTTCTTCAACTCATTTAAGTGGAAACTGCTGCACCCACCTCGCTCAAGGTACCCAAACTGTTGGCCATAAATTCTCAGCCTGACCAAGTTGCGAGAGTTTGGCTATTCGAGTAGAAATATCAACCGTTAGTTAAACCGAAATACCAACTAGCAGCGCAGTTTGCCGAAGTGTCTGTAAGTGAGAAGGGAGGAGGTAGTCGGTATTAGTAGTCCACTTTTGATGCGATCAAAGAGAAAAAGCCCAATAAGCCAGACAAGAATAAGTAGTCATCGCAAATGTCTCTTATTTTCACACAATAAATACAAAACAAAAATCGGCACGCTGCAAAAGAAAATGTTTGTGTTGACAAAAAGCTTAAATACTTTGGTGAAGCGGAACGATAGAGAATTTTCCAAAGTGTAGTTTAGTTAAATATTAAATTATTTTACTTCATAAAATTTAATATCGCGTCTTTCTTATACATCGTTAAAAGGTGTTTTTGTTTGACATTTAATATTAGCTGCAAGGCTTGCCGAAGTTTGCTTCCATTCTTGTTTCCCTATTCATTTTCGGATTGATAGAATTCAAGATAGGCATTAAGAAATACCCGAAAACATTTCAGTCATCGCCTTTTTCCGATTCCATGGGACTATTCGTTTTCCATTTTCCTCAGAGCAACATTCAAATGCTTATCGGGGGCCGAACGGAGACGGTGGGTGAAGAGGTTTAGCTTGTGCAATTTAGTATTAGCACCCGCATGCCTGATTACTCGATTACATTTACCTGTTTTCGTTTTTATTCCTCTATGCGCCGAGTTGTTGAATTAAATTTCAGAGCTTTGCTACCCTGAGTTTCCATTGTTTTTGTTTTGCGGTACTGCTAATGTTATTGTTGCATGTAAACAATACCTTACAACACCTTCACCACGGTCCACCGCAAGCGTTGCCTATTGCTAATGTTATTATTTAATGGCTGACTTTCGTTGTGTCGTTTTTACCATCAATCGGCCACAAAAATATAAAATAATCGCACCTAATGAGTAATAGCACCAACAAATTTATTGTCCGACCGACTCGCTGCGACTTCCCGAAAGTATCTGCATCTGCGACTGTTCACTTATGTATCCTATGGATCGCCACCGCTGTGTGGGCTGAAACTCGCAGGTATTTTGTGGGGAGCTAGTTTCGCCTTTTTTCTCTGGGACTTAATAATCATTTACGAGGCCTTTGCACTTGGCACTTACACTTTTTGGTTACACTTTCTGGCTGCGTATGTTTATGACAGAACTGCCTTATGTCCCTAAGGAAACTGGAGAAGAGATTAAATAAATAAATATTTTAGGATACCTGATAAGATCGGCATATACTAGAGTCCGTTATGATGAAATAAGCAGTAAAAATAAAATGAAGAAACATGTCTATTATTTATTTTGTTTTTAGACCCTTTGCCTGTTAATAACCATGCTCTTGTCATGTAACATTTGTTATCTAGTATCTCTAAGCTTAAGCTCTGCGGAATCTTCCACTACGCCTTATCTAAGGCAACAAATATTGAGACCTCCTTATCGCAGCTGTCACGACAAAAACGTTAATTGTCGCTGCGAAGGTAGAATAATGAGCAACAACTGCACATCGAATGCCCAAAATGTTGGGCACCGAAGACTTCGTGTCCCCGTAAATCCCTGATCGCTTTCGTTAGTTGCTCATAATCTTTGCACTGTGCGACACGGCCGAAATTGCAATAGCAAGTGCTTAGCTGTCGGCGGCGGGGAAAGCAGGCAACGCTGCGTATGATTGATGTCTGCTCAGCTGCTCCACCTCCAGCGCCTGGAACGTACCGATAATTAACCAGGCGTTCACTTCGCAAAGTGCATCAAAAGTGGGTAAAGATGCGCTTATGTTGATGCTGAGGCTGCGCTGTGCAAAAACAGGAAAATTTCTGCTGCCAGCTCTGTGCGCGCTTTCGCATGTTTTCTTTATTTTGCTGGCATGCGGAAAATAAGTTTTCATTTTTGTTTTTATTTTGAGTGCAGATTGATGGGTTTGCGGTCGTTCAAGCAAAGGGCAGCGCAACTGTGGGATAAACTGTAGAGTTGGATCGATCCCCGCCGGTTCCGCGGACTAAGATCCATAATCGCTAATACTTCCTGGCCCCCGATGCCAGTCGTCGCCGTCGTCGTCGTCACCCATTTGCCTCACTTCCATTTCACTTTCAGCCTTATAAAGTTATTACGCGACTCCGTTCACCGGGTGAGTTGATGGGTGTACTCGGAAGTGCATTTTTACCAGCTGCGGGGGCGTGGCTGCGGCAGGTGTAAAAAATGCGAATGCCTCAGTCATCAAAAATTAGGCTAAACCGAAGCGGAATGCAAGAGAAAGGGCAACCCAGGAAATGTATTCCAGATAGGTATATTAATCGAAATTTGAAAAAATGTAACAAACCGGAAATCTGAGTTTGCTTCATTGAAATCGAGCTCATGTTTATAATAATAATTTTAGTGAAGCACAAAAATTGGTTCCTCTTGATATAAGGAAAATTGCTTTTTAGTTTTTTTGATCTTATTTTCCTTAAGTTGAATTTATTTCAGTTTACATTTTAATTCAGATGATTCTTGTGCTTGTCTTATAAGCTCAATAATCTCTCAGTTTCAATTAATTTTTTCTAAGATGGCTTTGCCAGAATACATACCTTTTATTTTTAAATATTATATAAAATTCGTTTAAAAAACACGTTCACATTAAAATTTATACAGTTGAAAATAACTAGTAGCCATACAGCTCGCCACAATATCTTGTAAATCATGCCATACTACCACCAAATTAATTCCTTTAAGCACTTAGTTCCGCCGCCGAACGGACTTTTTGAGACCCTCAATGAATATTCGCCAAACATTAATTATGTAGATTTGAGGACCCCGAAAAAGGAAGAAAAAATAGTGGGCGACCAGGAATTGGCCTTCTTTTTTCTAACGGAAGATATAACGAAACCAAAAGCGAAGAAATCCTGCACTTATGGCGAGCACTGTTTAGCCCGCCCTCTCATTCCGGTGACAGTCAACTGGGACAACAGCTGTGTTACCCCAACAATTGCTCCCTGCCTGGGTCTTTGGAATGCCCTCCTTAGGTTCAGCTTCAACTTCCTGGGCATTTTTCAAAATGAGTGCGATATGAGCGACGGACGATGCTGGGCTTCGGGAATCGAAGACTAGCACCTTTTTTCTACAACAAAAGGATCTACTTACAATCCAAGTCATTGCTAACATTTTTTATAGAAAGTATTCCATAAAACTACTGTAGGAATAAGCCTAATTGAATTGTTTATTGGTTAAGTCAGAAAAGCGCGGATTTCTTTACCCACACAGCAGATTGGTGGCTGCGACCCAGGTGCATGTAGTGATGGAGACTGGGACGGAGTCTGTCTGCTGTAACACGAACTGAAAACCTAAGACTGAAACTTTACTATTGACCTAATTTAAGATGCCGACGACAGCAGCGAAGACAAGACAAAAGACAGATCAGAGACCTAGACAGAGGCTGTCATAGCAGCTGGCTTCAGGCCTAATTGGCAACTGGGACATCTGCATCCGAAATGATCCACCTGAGGCGCTGCGTGAGCACGACTATAGTAGAGCAGGCCAAGCGAAAACTGTTTCTACCTCAAATTAAAGATAATAAAGCACACAAAAAAATGAGAACCCACTGCATTGGGCATGGAAAGGGAGAACCATTGTTTGGCATCCGAATTGAGGACTTTAAGTTCAAGATCACTCATGTAAATATTTATGACAGAAAAGGGAGAACTGGGCTAAATCTAATTATTCGGCCTTGAATAAATCTATCATTCGCTGAATTAACCATTGAGTATGAGGGTTTTCAAACAAAATTGAAATTCAACCATACCAAATATCAATTACACTCAGTATTAAATATAATCCTTTGGTGCCTGATGTTGAAGCTAGAATGCCGGGCGGCCAAACCTGTTCGCTGATTGATGGCTGTTGATTGGGCACTCGCTTTGACATATCGAGAAATAAGCAGCGCCAGCACAAGCTTACACAATTCATTGAGCAAGACGCGCGAATTCCCAGAGATTCCAATTCAAATACCAATTCCAGACTGACTACAAATCGAATTCCACTCTCTTGGAACGGGCGAGAGGCAGGCGTAATGAAAGCTAATTAATAAGCCATCATCAGCATAATGTGGTGGGTACTGCTACCCCTGCCCCTTCCCTCATTACGTCTTCAGTGGGGCCAATGGAAACGCCATTGAGTGTATGGACTGTGTAGTGTGCCATGCGATTACAACTCACTACTTACAATTTGCATAACAAAGGGAAAGCCAAAGCCGAACTCAACTCCTCTCAACTTGAATTAAATCTCGGTTCTGGGGCAGTTGCAACTCGGATCGTAGACAGACTTATGACAAATACAACAACTTGACAACAGTTGTAAGTTGTTTCTCGGTTCGTTTATTCGCCCACTTGCTGCCGCGAACATAAACCCAAACCCACGAAAATCCACGAAACGAGATAAATGCATAGCTCGGATGAAATGCCGCAGAATATGTTGATTTCTGCTCTGAACCTTGTGGGTATTATGTCTAATAATAATATTTGAAGTGGCCTCTGATGTCAATATAATCAGTAAGAATAAGAGATGCAATATCCGGTTTAATTAGACGCTTGCAGAGTGCATTATAATTTCAGTCAAAAGATTTCACCGCAGTAAAGAGTAAATTTGCGATAAACTATATACATTCTTGAGAAGTATTACCAAGCGAGGTTGGTGGTTGCTTATAATTCGGAACAGAGCGGATCGGACTACTTTATATCTTTGTTGTTTCTTAACATACATCCAAATATACTTCGTGTTAAAATATACTATTAACAGTCTCAGATTTTCGGCAGAGTTAGCTGCCATATTAGCGATACCAAAAGTAATTGGAAAATCGACTCAGCTTCATTGTTTTTAAGCATCGAAATTGTAATATAGAATAAATATTTACTTCTGAGTGCAGAACTTTATAAAATTTAATCTGATCTAAATACCTCAAAATACTTGTGATTCGATTCTCTAAAAATTTGCATTCGAAATTTTCAATTTAACGTTAATCAAATTTTATACCCATTTTCATGATAGTTATTTCTAATTTTCCGATGACTTGTTTAACGTTGACCCAAAATTGGTCTTCTAGAGTTTATAACTTTACTAAATTTAATCCGATCTTAAAGTGGCATACCTCTAAAGACTTGTGATTTGATCCTCTAAAAATCTGCATTTACAATTTTTAATTTAACGTAGATAAAAGTGTTGAACCTTTTCATGTTAGTTATTTCTGATTTTCCGATGACTTGTTTAACGTTGACCCAAAATTGGTCTTTGTGAGTCTATAACTTTACCAAATTTAATCCGATATTAAAGTGGCATACCTCTAAAGACTTGTGATTTGATCCTCTAAAAATCTGCATTCAAAATTTGTAATTTAACATAGATTAAATTTTTGACGCATTTTCATGTTAGTTATTTCTGATTTTCCGATGACTTGTTTAACTTTGACCGAAAATTGGTGTTCGAGAGTCTATAACTTTACTAAATTTAATCCGATCTTAAAGTGGCATACCTCTAAAGACTTGTGATTTGATCCTCTAAAAATCTGCATTCAAAATTTTTAATTTAACGTAGATCAAATTTTTAAACCATTTTCATGTTAGTTATTTCTGATTTTCCGATGACTTGTTTAACTTTGACCCAAAATTGGTGTTCCAGAGTCTATAACTTTACTAAATTTAATCCCATTTTAAATTGGCATACCTTTAAAGACTTGTGATTTGATCCTCTAAAAATCTGCATTAAAAATTTTTAATTTAACGTAGATTAAATTTTTGACGCATTTTCATGTTAGTTATTTCTGATTTTCCGATGACTTGTTTAACTTTGACCCAAAATTGGTCTTCGTGAGTCTATAACTTTACCAAATTTAATCCGATCTTAAAGTGGCATACCTCTAAAGACTTGTGATTTGATCCTCTAAAAATCTGCATTCAAAATTTTTAATTTACCGTAGATCAAAATTTTAAACCATTTTCATGTTAGTTATTTCTGATTTTCCGATGACTTGTTTAGCTTTGACCCAAAATTGGTGTTCGAGAGTCTATAACTTTACTAAATTTAATCCGATCTTAAAGTGGCATACCTCTAAAGACTTGTGATTTGATCCTCTAAAAATCTGCATTCAAAATTTTTAATTTACCGTAGATCAAATTTTTAAACCATTTTCATGTTAGTTATTTCTGATTTTCCGATGACTTGTTTAACTTTGACCCAAAATTGGTGTTCCAGAGTCTATAACTTTACTAAATTTAATCCCATTTTAAATTGGCATACCTTTAAAGACTTGTGATTTGATCCTCTAAAAATCTGCATTAAAAATTTTTAATTTAACGTAGATTAAATTTTTGACGCATTTTCATGTTAGTTATTTCTGATTTTCCGATGACTTGTTTAACTTTGACCCAAAATTGGTCTTCGTGAGTCTATAACTTTACCAAATTTAATCCGATCTTAAAGTGGCATACCTCTAAAGACTTGTGATTTGATCCTCTAAAAATCTGCATTAAAAATTTTTAATTTAACGTAGATTAAATTTTTGATTCTAATTTTTGAAATCTAAAGACTTGTGATTTGATCCTCTAAAAATCTGCATTCAAAATTTTTAATTTAACGTAGATCAAATTTTTGACCCATTTTCATGTTAGTTATTTCTGATTTTCCGATGACTTGTTTAACTTTGACCCAAAATTGGTGTTCCAGAGTCTATAACTTTACTAAATTTTATCCCATCTTAAAGTGGCATACCTTTAAAGACTTGTGATTTGATCCTCTAAAAATCTGCATTAAAAATTTTTAATTTAACGTAGATTAAATTTTTGATTCTAATTTTTGAAATCTAAAGACTTGTGATTTGATCCTCTAAAAATCTGCATTCAAAATTTTTAATTTAACGTAGATCAAATTTTTGACCCATTTTCATGTTAGTTATTTCTGATTTTCCGATGACTTGTTTAACTTTGACCCAAAATTGGTGTTCCAGAGTCTATAACTTTACTAAATTTAATCCCATCTTAAAGTGGCATACCTCTAAAGACTTGTGATTTGATCCTCTAAAAATCTGCATTCAAAATTTTTAATTTAACGGTGATTAAATTTTTGACGCATTTTCATGTTAGTTATTTCTGATTTTCCGATGACTTGTTTAACTTTGACCCAAAATTGGTCTTCGTGAGTCTACAACTTTACCAAATTTAATCCGATCTTAAAGTGGCATAACTCTAAAGACTTGTGATTTGATCCTTTAAAAATCTGCATTCAAAATTTTTTATTTAACGTTGATCGAATTTTTGACTCATTTTCATGTTAGTTTTTTTCAAGTTTTCGGTGAGTTGCATAAATGCTAACCAAAGTGCACTTCCAGAGTCTATAACTTTTACAAATTTAATCCGATTTAATCATACCTCTAAAGACTTGTGATTTGATCCTCTAAAAATCTGCATTCAAAATTTTTAATTTAACGTAGATCGAATTTTTGACCCATTTTCATGTTAGTTATTTCTGATTTTCCGATGACTTGTTTAACTTTGACCCAAAATTGGTGTTCCAGAGTCTATAACTTTACTAAATTTAATCCCATCTTAAAGTGGCATACCTCTAAAGACTTGTGATTTGATCCTCTAAAAATCTGCATTCAAAATTTTTAATTTAACGTAGATTAAATTTTTGACCCATTTTCATGTTAGTTATTTCTGATTTTCCGATGACTTGTTTAACTTTGACCCAAAATTGGTGTTCCAGAGTCTATAACTTTACTAAATTTAATCCCATCTTAAAGTGGCATACCTCTAAAGACTTGTGATTTGATCCTCTAAAAATCTGCATTCAAAATTTTTAATTTAACGGTGATTAAATTTTTGACGCATTTTCATGTTAGTTATTTCTGATTTTCCGATGACTTGTTTAACTTTGACCCAAAATTGGTCTTCGTGAGTCTATAACTTTACCAAATTTAATCCGATCTTAAAGTGGCATACCTCTAAAGACTTGCGATTTGATCCTCTAAAAATCTGCATTCAAAATTTTTAATTTAACGTAGATCAAATTTTTGACCCATTTTCATGTTAGTTATTTCTGATTTTCCGATGACTTGTTTAACTTTGACCCAAAATTGGTCTTCGTGAGTCTATAACTTTACCAAATTTAATCCGATCTTAAAGTGGCATACCTCTAAAGACTTGTGATTTGATCCTCTAAAAATCTGCATTCAAAATTTTAAATTTACCTTAGATCAAATTTTTAAACCATTTTCATGTTAGTTATTTCTGATTTTCCGATGACTTGTTTAACTTTGACCCAAAATTGGTGTTCGAGAGTCTATAACTTTACTAAATTAAATCCGATCTTAAAGTGGCATACCTCTAAAGACTTGTGATTTGATCCTCTAAAAATCTGCATTCAAAATTTTTAATTTAACGTAGATTAAATTTTTGACGCATTTTCATGTTA